GTGGGGCCAGGCGCGCTGGTGGGTGTCAGGGAGGCAGGTGGTCGCTGGGATAAGTCTCCCAGAGTCCCCCAGCGTGGGGCTGTGTCCCTGTGTCCCGGGGCAGCGCCCGCACATCCCTGCTGTGCTCCTTGCATCCCCTGCGTCCGGGCTGCTGGCACCCAACACGCACCACAGCCTTGCCAGCAGCCTGCCCGGGTGGCCCAGAAGGCCAACACCACCCTGGCTTGTGCCAGCAATGGCGTGGCCAGCAGGACCGGGGCTGGGATTGCCCCCTGTGCTGGGCACTGCTGGGGCTGCACCTCAGACCCTGGGTTCGGTTTTGGGCCCCGCACTGCAAGGGCACTGAGGTGCTGGAGCTCGGCCAGACATGGACAATGGAGCACAAGCCTTAGGAGGTGCAGCTGAGGGAGCAGGGGGTGTTCAGTCTGGAGGAAAGGAGGAAACCTCCTGAAGGAAGTTGTAAGGTGGGTCTTGGTCTCTTTCCCCAGATTTCCAGCAATACAGTAAGAGGAAATAGCCTCAAGTTGTTCCAGGGGAGGTTTAGATTAGAGGTTAAGGAACATTTCTTTACTGAAAGGGTTGTCAGACACTGGAATGGGCTGCCCAGGGAAGTGGTGGAGTCACCATCCCTGGAGCTGTTCACAAGCAGTGCAGCAGTGGGGCTTGAGAACATAGTTTGGTGGTGGCCTCGGCAGTGCTGGGTTAATGGTTGGACTGGATGATCTCAAAGGGTCAACTAAAGACCAAACCAAAACGATTTGATGATTCCATGATCCTCCACTGCTACCCCCACCCCAGCCCCACCACCACTTTCACTTCCACCAGCTCTAAACCACATCCTATTTCAAGAGAAACAAATGTCACCTCCAGGTCACTCCAAGCACCAAGAGGAACCAGCTTCACTTTCTGGTAAAAAGTTTTATTAAGACCCTGCAGTATCTGCCCAAAAGAAGGATGTCACCTTGGCACGGGCATTATGCAGCAGTGGGGAGACAGGAGAGGGGGTCAGAGCTTCTCCAGGCAACATGAACAGCTGAGGGAGCAGGGGGTGTTCAGTCTGGAGGAAAGGAGGAAACCTCCTGAAGTTGTAAGGTGGGTCTTGGTCTCTTATCCCAGATTTCCAGCAATACAGTAAGAGGAAATAGCCTCAAGTTGTTCCAGGGGAGGTTTAGATTAGAGGTTAAGGAACATTTCTTTACTGAAAGGGTTGTCAGACACTGGAATGGGCTGCCCAGGGAAGTGGTGGAGTCACCATCCCTGGAGCTGTTCACAAGCAGTGCAGCAGTGGGGCTTGAGAACATAGTTTGGTGGTGGCCTCGGCAGTGCTGGGTTAATGGTTGGACTGGATGATCTCAAAGGTTCAACTAAAGACCAAACCAAAACGATTTGATGATTCCATGATCCTCCACTGCTACCCCCACCCCAGCCCCACCACCACTTTCACTTCCACCAGCTCTAAACCACATCCTATTTCAAGAGAAACAAATGTCACCTCCAGGTCACTCCAAGCACCAAGAGGAACCAGCTTCACTTTCTGGTAAAAAGTTTTATTAAGACCCTGCAGTATCTGCCCAAAAGAAGGATGTCACCTTGGCACGGGCATTATGCAGCAGTGGGGAGACAGGAGAGGGGGTCAGAGCTTCTCCAGGCAACATGAACCCAGGTCAAACCCAGCAACAGGATGAGACAGAGCAAGTCAAGGCCACAGAAAGGTGGGGGGAACACATCTGCATGGCAGAGGACCTCCCACCAGGGCAGCCCAGCAGTAGTTAAGGCATTCAAAGTGCTCGGAGGAAGACCAGGCCTACAGAGGGGGTCAATACTGTGACCATTAACAAGGGATGTGGGTGGCTGGAGTGTCACCTGCACCTCTGCCCTGTGAGGGCCTGGCACAGGTGGGTGATGCTCATAGCCACAGGTAGGAAAGATGCTACCTGCCCATGCCTCTACCTCCAGCCATGACCAGGAAACAGGCCCCCAAATGGGCCCCAGGCTGTTGGTCTTGATGGTCATCTCCCAGTCCATCCCATGTCCAGGATGCTGCTCCATGGGGCCAAGGTGCCTCTGCCAGTGCATAGGAAGGATGGTCCCAGTGCAGTGTCCTACCTTGGCTCAGTCCCAGAGGCAAAACGAGATGATGGGACTTGTCCTCAGTCAGGCTGTGCCCTAACTGCCTGTCACAGCCATGTGTCCCCCTGCAGCAAGCAGAGCCAGTGTCCAGCCTCCTCTCCTGCTGGCACCAGCCACGTGGTCCCTCGTGAGTGTGAACATCCACTAGGGGTTTGGGCAGTTTCACTCCTGTTGCGATGGTTGTCACAGGAGGGACATGGGGAGCTGACCTCACCAGTGCCTCATGTCACCAACCTGATCCTACACACAGGATGGGAATGTACCAAAGGCAGAGCCAGGGCTGCTATGATGGGAACAGGTCTCCTGTGGCCACTTTGGGGACACTTCTGCAAAACAGCCCCACGCTCCAGCAGGAGAGCCAGTGGGGCAAGCTGGGACACCCTCCAGAGCTAATCCTGCATCCCTCCAGCCTGCCCCCAGCACTCCCAAATGCTCCCTCCCCCCCATGGACTGCTCCAAGATATATTGCTTTTCCCTGGAATGTTTTTGCCTAAAATTCCCTAGATGGGATTAAGAAAAAAAAAAAAAAAGAGAGAAACTAGGTACTTTAGTGCTGAAAGGCTGGGGTTATCTCCATGGCCACCCTGTCCAGAGCAGGGGACACCCTGATGATGGGCTTGGGGACAGTGGGACAGCCTGAGAGGCCTTTCTGTGTGTAGCAGGGGAGGGGGTCACCAAGCAGGGGTTTGGGGGCTGCCTCCTCCTGGCAGAGGGAGTGATGCACCTCACAGGGACGGAGTGGGACAAGATGGGGTGCAACGGGACAGGATGGGACAGGGGACCAAGGTGGTGGGGAGAGGAGGGATGGTCCCCTGCCCCTCAGTGGGACTGCAGGGAGAAGGCCAGCTTGACACAGGCGAGCTCCTGCCCGCCGTTGCTGACCTCCACACGGACCCGGTAGTTGCCGTTGGTCATCCAGGAGGGCAGCTCCACATCGGGAAGGAGGAAGTCACTGGCTGGCAGGGAGTAGGAGCCCTGTAGAGAGAGGGGACATGTAGGGATGACATCAGCCAGACCCCCCAAGGCCGGCACAGGAGGGCACAGTGGGAGCCAGCACGGGGGCTCGGGCGTACCGCTTTGAAGGGGCAGTGGCAGGGGATGCCATAGGTCAGCAGGGGCTCCGGGCAGGGGGTGCCAGGTGGGATGAGGTTGTCAAGGACAGCACACATGTCATCGTAGGTGCAGCTGCCCAGCTGGTCGATGCAGGGCAGCTGGATCCAGAGTTCACCCAGCGCCTTCTCCACCACCGTCACCACCTGGAGGGAAGGTGTTCAGCACCAGTCCAGACACGGTCACTCATGGCTCCTCCACCCTGTCTAACCACCCTCCCACCCAACATCTCCCTCAGCTCCTGCAATTCATTGGGGTGTCCATGGGGCCACTGCACCCCTTCCAACCTCCCCCTCCTGCTTTTAATTCCTCCCTGCTGCAGGTTTCTCTTCCTCCAGCCTCAGCTTGGCCCCTCAAGCAAACACTTCCCAGCACTCCCACACTTGCTCCATCCTCTCTCCTTGGTATCCTGTCCCAAATCAAACTGGCAGCTCCTATCCCACAGCTCTGCCTCTGTGTTCCCCCAGCACACTCCCCACAGCCTCAAACAGGCTCCGTGGCATTGCTCAAGGCAGCCCATGTACCTTGGGCAGAAAGACACGTTCAGCCTCATTCCTGAAAGTCCCCAAAAAGGGCTCCCACAGCAGTGCTGTGGCATGTTCCCAGAGGAAACAGCAGGGTCTGGCTGCTGAAAAACGAGTGCAGCACTGTCAGGAGCACCCAGGGCACTTGAGGTTTAATTTCCCTCCCTGAGTCATTAGATCCCCAGGACAAACCACAGCTCAGGTGGTTTCTCCCACTGGGACAAGGCTGGGAGCTTCCCACTGGGCTGTCTGCTCCCGCTGCGGGTGTCCCTGTGCCCATCACCCTGCTGTGGCTCACAGAGCCCAACGTGCTCAGCCCTACACCACTTGGTGCCTCATTCCCCCAAGGGCTACTCCTTCCCGTTTCCACTGCTGAGCACTTCTCAGTGGTTTCAGGAAGCTTTGCCCTCCCTCATCCCACAGAGGCACCTCCAGCACGTACCTTCAGCGGGGAGGCCATGGTGGTGCTGCTGCTGGCGGCCGCGCTGACGCGCAGGCTCCCCGGGATGCTGATGGGGTCGGGGGCCACAGAAAGGCTCTGCAGGACCACTGGGTTCCTCCCATCACCGCAGTTCTCCCAGGCAAAGCCACCAACCTGCAGCACCAAGGGACAAAGGGACAGTTTCCCCAGTGCTGGATCTCTGACCTCCCCCAAACATGTCACAAATACAGCCAGAAAATGACCTTCAGCCCCTGTTCAAATGCCAAAAAAGTATCTCCCTCAGCATTTCTCACACCCCCAGCATGAGGGCATTGCACAAACTCTCCGTCCAGCTCCCCTGCAGGGACTTTACAACACTCAAAGAGGGTTCCAAGAAAGCAATTTCCAACCTTGCCTCAAGCTCAGCCTCCGAACACTTTGCACATGAGCCAGGCAAGAAGCAGCCCTCATGCCAGCACCAGTGGCACCCAGCAAGGTGTGCAAGAGAGAAGGCAAGAGAGCAAGCAGGGACCTGGCCAGGGCTGCGGTGGCTGCAGTGACCAGGGGGATGCTGTGCCCTGGGCAAGCTGTGGGGCCAGCTTAGCCCTCCCATCTTAGCCAGGAGCAGCCTGGCCACTGCAAGCCCTCACCTGCTGGGTCCAGCAACCTGGTTCCACACAGGAGCAGGAATCACATTCACTGCATTTTAAACAGTTTAACATTTCCACCTCTGATGCTCGAGGGGTAGATGAGCCAAGCCCATCTTCTGGTTGATATATCCCAAGGGCCTGATCCTGAGCTTGTTCAGTCCAAATGAGCTGGGGAAGCAGCATCGTCCCATGGGATAATGAAAATCTACATGCAGAGGATGTTGCTCAGACAGGGGGACATTGCTCATAGAATCATTCTGGTTGGAAAAGACCAACTGCTAACCCAGCATTGCCAAGTCCACCACTAACCATGTCCCTACAGGCCTGAGAGTTGTGCTAGGACATCTCCCCTGTTCCCTCCACCCTCTCCAGCCACCCCTGGCAAAGCCAGGCACAGTGCTGGAGCACATTGCTCCCACACCCCAAGTCCCAAGGCAGGGGGATGGCAGCAGTCACCTGCAACAGCCCCACCCCCGAACCTGCTGCAAGCCCAACCCCAGCTCCATCCCGAGCAGACTTCGGCCTAATTGCAGACCCTTTCCCAGCGGGAAGGCAGGAGGATGCCTGGGCTGTGTCACCCCGAGCAGGTTTGGCTGGGGCAGCCTGTGTCCCCACGCCAGGGGCGCGGGGCTCTCCCTGCCTGCTCAGCAGCCGCAGAACCGGTGGAGGCTGAATTACCTGGTGCCAGCCGGCAGCCCCAGCGGGCAGCCCTGCCCACGCAGGAGAGGATCCCATCCCAACGTCCTGCTCGCCAGCCCGGAGCAGCTCCAGGGCGCAGGGCAGGACACGGGGCTCAGGGCAAGCCAGGGCAGGCTGCACCCCTAAGCTTAGCAAGAGCTGAGAGCCCCTCACCCCGGGGTTCTGCAGGCAAAGAGACTCTGTGGGAGCTAAACACCGGGGTGTGGGAGCGAGTTGCTGTGCCACAGACAGCCCCCTGCAGCCTTCCTAAAACCGGCTCCCCCTTCCCTGAGGGAACATCAGTGTTCCTGGAAAATAAATATATTCCCCTCCACACCACGTGAAAGTCATGCATCTGAATCAGTTGTATCTTAATCAGTGATCGTTGATGAGCCCAGCCCAGGGCTGTGTGGGAATGCGGAGGCAGCAGCCTGAGCTGGTGAGCTGGAACATCATAGAATCACAGAATAGTTCGGGTTGGAAGGGTCCTTAAGGATCATCTAGTTCCAACCCCCCTGCATGGGCAGGGACAGCTCCCACCAGACCAGGTTGCTCCAAGCCCCATCCAACCCAGCCAACGCTTCCAGGGAGGAGGCACCTACAACTTCCCTGGGCAACCTGCCTCAGTGTCTCACCGCCCTCTTAGGAGAGGATTTCTTCATAATATCCAATCTAAATCTATCCTCTTTCAGATTAAAACCATTACCCCTCATCCCACCCCTCCCTGCCCATGTCCCAAGCCCCCCCCCAGCTTTCCTGCAGCCCCTTCAGGCCCTGGAAGTCTGCTCTGAGGTCCCCCTGGAGCCTCCTCTTCTCCAGGCCGAACAACCCAAATTCTTCCAGCCTGTCCTCACAGGACCGGTGCTCCAGCCTGTCCAAAAGCACAACACAGCAGGAGAAGATGGAAAAAGAAGCAAAGATGCAACTCTTTGGGCTCTCCTTGACACCTGAGTCAGGAGCTGTGCCTGAAGTGGGAGCAGGTGTGACCCCGGGGCAGCTCCGCGCTGCCCTTCACCTCACTCTTGCCAGCCCGGACCCTCCCTTCTTGCCAGCCCTCAGTTCCCCCCCGGCACAAGCGCTGCCTGGGGGCGGAAAGGGGGTGCCGGAAGGGTTACCAGCGGTTTACCAGAAGGTTACCACAGGGTTACCCGAGGGTTACCGCACGCTCCCCTCCCGCGCACGCCCGCAGGCAGGCGGCGCCGGCGGGA